CTGCTAGAGGACAGCCAGCCAGCCAGAGACCTTCATCACCAGATCAGGTTTAGCCAGTAGGCGCCTCAAGCACAGTGCAAGAGTCTATGAAAACACAAGACACCTCTGAAAATGTTACTGGCATCAAACGACAAAAAAATGTAAATATATATATATATTATTTATAAAACATGATAGTGTCAACTACACATCAAAATTTAATATTCAAAATATCCTCATTGCATTCACAAAATGTGTTAGATTTCACTGCGATCCATGATTGTTGAGACGTCACCGCCAGTTACCCATTCAATTAATTTACAAAAGAAAGTTATAAAATTCCTTTCAAATCACTTAAAAGCATTTCATGTGAGGGAATTTTAGTATTTTGGATACAGGGGGGCGGGGGGCGAGGCCTCCAGAGGAGGCCCTGTGCCCTCCCGTGTCCTCTGCCTCTCGGTGACACCTAAAATCACGGCTCAGACATTAAATCCGAGTCAGACGTCGCCCAAGAGCCAGCTCCCCATCTTCCATGAAGAATGGGCGCCATTTCTGACAAGTGGGATCACTGGATTGCGGGTTCCTAGTCAATGTTTCACACGTTCCTAGTCAATGTCTACCCCTGCCCCTCGACCCCCGGTGAGGCTGGGCGACTGGAGCAGGAAGGGGCGTGTGGACGCCAGTGGGAGACACGGTGGGCGGGAGACGGTGGGCGGGAGACGTGGGTGTGGGGGAGGAGTGCGCGCATGCTCAGTAGCTAGATCACCTAACTAGTGTCTGAATCCAACGGATAAGCCCTCGGCCGAGATGCCCTCCTTAGCTGCCAGGTCTCCATTTGGAGCCTCCAGGTCTGCATTTCTCCCATCTTAGAGCTCACGCTGCAGAGACCACTGGCTTTTCCTTTCTACCCAGTTACACGTGGCTCTGACTTGCTCTCCATGCCTGCTGTTTTGATTTTTAAAGATTTATTTATGCACACAGAACTGGGGTACACGCCAGAGGTGCGGGGGCATCGAAAGGATTCACCAGAGACAGAGCAGGGAAGCAGAATAGGCAGACTGAGAAGTACACTGCTGAGGGGAGCAGCAGGGAGACAGGAGAGGTCTGCTGCGCCCTGTGGGTCAGCTCCCTGACCAGGAAGCGAACTGGTGCTGCAGTGGCTGCGGACAGCTTCGAGTGCCACGCTTTAACCCGCTGCCCACCAGGGAGGGCGTCACCTTCTGTTCTTATCTTCTATTTGTCCTTGCTAATCATCAGTGTATCAGTGGCTCACTTGTGTATCTTTGGTAACTGAAGAGCCAGTGAGCCCTGCCGTGGGCCAGGCAACAGTTGTGGCCACGCAGCTTTCTCGTGGCAATGGACAGTGACCACACTTGGGTGAGCTCTCTGGTGGGACCCACGTCAGTGTCCAGGTGGTTGTGGACCTGGCTCCACACTCTAGTTGAGGAGTGTGGACTTAAGCAATGAGACAGGAAAATTAAAACATACCTCTAGTTATTAAAAATATACAGTTTATCGGCTGAAGGTGGAAAGTGATGTCTTTCAAAGTGCTAGCTCTACTGAACAATACCCAGTGTCTGTTTAAAAACACCAGCTGGAGACCTGCCTTGGAAACAAATTTTCTTACCCTGAAGTTTGAGAATCACAGAGACTGGGATAATCTTGATTCTTCTGGCTGTCCGGGGTTCCACGAAAGCAAGCACTCACTTGACGTTGTGCAGACAAGGCCAGCCGACTCATCTGGGGCTTCCTGGCATTGCTTTCTTGGGGTCTCTGAGGCATGGAAAGAATTCACAGTTACGGGCAAGGCAGCTGCTGGGACAAGGCCCAGGGTGTCCCACCAAGAGCCCCTGGTGCCTTTGAGACCGAGTGTAGCCGGCCTGGCCCTGACCCAGCGGTGGAGCTAGTGGACATTTGCTGCCACATCCCAGGGCTCTGCTTCTCCTGAACATCTGCCTGGTGTCTCACTTCAAAGGGCTTCCTCTTCCTGTGCCTTCCTACTCATCCCTGTAATCTCCCGCTACAGCTCGGCGACAAGCCCTCTCCTCCATCTGCAGTGTGCTGAGTCTGTGCTGCGCATCTCGGTGCCCGCGTGGACACGTGGCCCTCAGCTGTCAGCTTTAGGCCCTCGCAAAGAGGGCAGAGCGTCAGTCTGGGTTCAGATTCTTCTACGGCAAACAGCTCTTGGAGTGTGCAGAACATGGCTACCTTGCCTGCCAGAGGGAAGCCAAGGGGGGTGCTGGTAAGACAAAGCAGAAAAAGATCCAGACCTTACAGAAAGAAGCCTGCTGACTTTTGAGGGGCCAACCTGTCTTCGGTGTCTGAAATCACAGGGGAAACATGACCAGCCCTCCCCAGTGGCCTGTGGGTGAGACGGGCTGGCAGTGCCAGGCAGAGCAGGATAGGACTAGGAGCTCCAGGTCAGCCCTGGTTATGAGCGTGGTCAGTGCTGTGAGCTGGACAGCACAGCTGCAGGACTGCTGAGCCAGTAGGTCACACGGAGTGAGTGACCCAGAACCACAGAACGGGGATGTGAGGAGTCGCAATGAGCCGGGGACAGGTGGCCGAGGAGGAGGAGCGCTTTTGCAGGCGGGCGCAGTGTCTCCAGAGGGCGTGTGGAGGAGCTTATAAAGCAGCCTAGCAGCGGCAGAAAGCTTTGGTTCAAAGAGGCAGCTCCTCCATCCATGATAATGCACCCCCAGGTAGCACAGGGGAGCCCTGCACCGGAGGCCTGCCGGATGCTGGATGCAGATAGAGACGACAGAGGACATCAGCTTCCTCTCTGTGCCTGGCAGTGAGATAAGCTGAAGAAACATGTATAAAGCTGGAAGAGGGGGACAAGGTTATAGTCACCCAAATTCCCCTGGAGAGCAGAAGCTGTCTTTGCTGGGAACAACATTTTGAGAAATGCTTACACCTGAGACAGATCCCAGTGGAGATCTGGGTGTGAGTGGAACAGCTCCATGGGAGACATGAAGGAGGTTTTCAGTTTTGCTTGTTATGCCAAAGACGGGTGAGGAGGGAGCTGCGGCATGGTGCAGCCCACGAGCAACCCTGTCCTCAGCACCCACCTCAGTTTTCAGAAAATGACCAACGTCGTGAAATGCCTGGGGCCAAGCAAGGGTACACTTGCATCCTGGAGTGTGCGGGCGTGGGATGGACAGAGGTGCTGGGCTTCGGGTTCAGACGGGTGCTGGGCTGCGGCCAGGCAAGGAGGCAGAGGGGAAGGAGGCGCTCAGAGGGAGATGCCACCCCGGGGGTCGGGGGCAGGCTGAGCTGGGGGGGGGTCCTGGTCGACTTCAGAGTTAACCAAGTTCTGCCGCTGTCGTTCTGGTTATCCTTCCTCGTGTTTGTTCTAGCCAAGTCAGCTAACACCACATCTCACACACCTCAGAAGCTCTGAGAACTAAAAACCAGGTATCTGTCTGCCTACTAGGTGGGCTGGCATGCTGATGTCGGGCCCACTGCAGACCACAGACACAGACTGGCACGGTCTGCCTGTCTCCCCGACCACCAGGCCAGCCCAACACTAACGTCTTAGAGCTTTTGGTTCTGGTGAGGTCGATGCTCTCAGGCATCAGTGCCCTCACTTTGTCAGAGGTCTTCTGTTGGGCCAGGGCCACAGAGGCAGCTGGGATTGGTAATCTAGAAAGGATCCTTGAAAGAGCCTGAGTCTTTGATAATCGTATCTGGAAGCCGAGAGAGTCTAATGAGAGCTGGACCTTTCCAATCAGGAAGCCTCTGGTTGACCCGCTGACCCTGCCCAGCTCACGCTGCTGTTCCTCCCAGGGACACTTCTCATGGGGAGGAAGGAAACAGCAATGCCGGACATAGACCCGGGACACAGGCTCGGATCATCTTGCCTTTTTCTGTTCCCCTCATTGCTCCATTCCCGCTCCTGGCACCTCCTTGAGAACAGTCCTTGGGCTTAGGGCAAGATATGTCTTAAGAGCAATCCACGTACAGCCCAGGAGACAGCTGGGAAGGAAAGACGGCTGCTCCTTGACATGAAGGGACCTTTGGTGCACTAACACGCTGCTGGCACAGGACCAAGCCGACTGTGGACGAGAGGATGAGGCAGGCGAGCGCCTGTGTGATGCGTACAAGAGTGAGTCACTGGGGACCACAGTGAGCTCTCGGCCACTGCGCAGAGACTGTGCGCTCTGACCCTGCCCTCGGAGGGCAGATCTCCGCGGGCCAGGTTAGGTTTGCACCTTACCCAGCAGCAGGGGACCTCGAGCCTTTGTGGCCTGAGGCATGCACATCTGGCTGCTCCCAGGACAGGCTGGCAAGTGTCTTCTTTCCTGCTGGTTGTCTGGGAGAGGCTGTGTCAGTCTGCCAAATGGCCTTCATCCTACTTCCATGTTGGCTGGGGCACAGGGTCAGACATGAAGAAGAGATGGAGTTAGAGATGCAGCCAGAGGGGAAGGACAATGCTCCGGAGACCCAGGGCCCAAGACCTGCCTTGTTTAACTCCCTTCTCTGCCCGACTTGCCCCCTCTCCCTCCACCCCCAGCCCCCGGGGCTCCTCTGGCCAGGGGACTACTGGGAGAGGCTACTGGGAGAGGCCTCTGGAACCATCTGTGCTCGGGGCTCCTCTGGCCAGGGGGCTACTGGAGAGGCCTCTGGAACCATCTGTGCTCGCTGGCATGCGCCCTGGGGTGGAGGCCCTCAGCAGCCATGCTGTGGTGGGTGTGAATGTGATCTTGGTGCCCAGAGGCTCTGTGGCTTTGTGAGCCTGAGGGGCTGCACAGTGGGAAGGAGCCGACACCAGGTCAACGCTCAGGGTAAAAGTGGTTGTCAGCTCACAACTGTGGTCCTTAGAGTCTTTCAGTTGCATAGTTAGAAACATCTTTGCCTCTGAAGCAGGCACCTGACACACACACACACACACACACACACACACGCTGCACCCACATTCGTGGGCCGAGCGTTGCCCTCTCTGAAGACCAGCTTCCCAGCCCACGCCTCCCACGCCCTGCTTCCCCCCATCAGCTGGCTGCCTCCTTGTCTTCCAGTGCCTACCTGGTCACCTGCACCAGCACGGGCTCCCGGTCTTTGGATGGACAGTGCTCCTGGCGCTGCTTGCAGCAGGCGCTGCCGTTGTAGCTGCCCTGGGGCACCGATGGGGGCAACTTGCTTTTCCTTGACTTGGGGGAGGTGAGCCGAGGAGTGTGCAGGTGAATGTTCCATTCCAGCTGGAGCTAGAGGGCAGCAGAGAGGCATTGGGCGGAGGAGGGCAGGGGGAGCGGCGTGCTAGGCCCAGAGGGAAGGTGCAGGGATTCAGCCAACCGGACAGACTCCTGGCGTCCCAGGATCATTCCTAGAAATTCCTTGAATTCTTATTTGCTGAGTTCCTCTTCTTTGTTGTGGAGGATCTGGACAGTGGGCCAAACAGTAAGGAAAAACTGAAAGAAGACAGAGCGGCCTGCACCAGGGCTGTCGGGGTGCGGGCCTCCTAGACTCTCTGGGAATCTGTTCATCCAGCCCTGTCCCGGCAACCATCACGGCCACTGGCCACCAGAAGAACCGCCACGTGGTCGCTTTCCTCCTCTGTCTTCAAGCCCAACCCCAGCGCCCTCGGTCTCCGGCTGCGGGATTCTCCAGTCGTTCCCATCTCCCCCCCCCCTCACGCTGTGGCTAACCCTTTGCAGACATGGCAGCACTCACTGCTTCTCGGCTGTTCCCTGTTAGGGAGGAACAGAGTAGAGGAAACTAAAGCCAAACCTCAGAGAGTAGACTGGGTCCAACCCAAACAATGGAGGAAGGAGCAGAAAGGAGGCAGATTAAGATCGACTCGCACGGGGAGGTGGGGCGGAAGGGACGAGCACAGCCATTGACCCAGCTATAGAAACCAGGGTCCTTAGGTGGCCAGTGCCTGGGTTACGGAGCACAGGACCTCAGCAGGTGGAGGCGGTAGGGACGTCTGTCACAGACCCAAAAGGGGCAGATAATGCAATGGAGATGGAGCCATCCTGGACTCCTCTCCCTTCCAGATTCTACTCAAAATCAACAACAAGCCCGGGCTCACAGGGATTGAGCCCCTCCCAGAGAGAAGATGTCTCTATCAGGGCACTCTCTGCCCTGGCTCGGGGCAGTCCCCTGCCCACCTGTGCCCATGCCGGGGCTCCTTCCCACCCGCTTGCTCCCTCCGCAGGGCAGCAGCCTCCTGTCTGCCTGTGACCTGTATCTGCTGGGTCTGCTCTGCACTGAGCTCCCTCAGCGGAGGCCGCTCTCCCAAGGGCGCCCGCCTGCAGCCATGCAGGCCTCTCTCAGCAAACCTGCCTCTTCCAGGGCAGCTCTTCCTGCCCGCTTGTGCCATGCAAGTGTCCTTTACTCCTCTGTCCTTTTCCCTAATAAATATAACTACGTCTCTGGCTTGTGGAGACGCTCGCCTGGGGAACTCGCCGCGTGCTGCTGAAAGGGGAGCTCGGGGGCCCTCTTTCCCAGAGCGGACCCAAGGACCCCGCTAACTCCAAAAAAAACGACATCACAAAGACTCGGGACTCAGAGTGGCCTCGGACTCTCAGCAACACCAAAACCTAAAAGGTGCAAGCAGGACCTTAAACACGAGAGAAAATGGATTCTAACTTAACTTTCCTGTCAACTAAGACTGAGCTTAGAGACCAAGTGAAAACATTTTCAGACGAGCAGGATCTCAGTGATTTCGCTGCCAAGTACCCTTTGTCAGGAAGCGACGAGCGGAGGTACTCCATGAGTAGGGAGAGACGGGAATCTAGAAAGTGGGGAGCTGTCCCCTGAGGAAGCAAACCTAGTCCTGTTACAGGGTAGGGAGAGGGACACCCCTGAGCCCCCAAACCTGCCTTCTCTAAATAGGTTCTACCATCTGCCACATCAAGACAAAACATATGATTCCTTTCATGGAAAGAAACTTTAGTACAATCATTGGGCAATACAACAAACGTAAAGAACATAGTTTCTAAATCAAACACCCAATGGCACCCATCCCCTCGTGGGTGAAAGGCCATCCAAAGGGATCGGCCCAAAGCGAGGCCTGAAAGCCCGTCACAAGACTAACGCACCTTCAAGGGGACCCATGGAAAAGGGTCCGAAGTGGCCAGACAAATCCGGGGGGGAAAGAGCAACATCAAAGTCAAGATAAACACTGCCATAGTCACCTCCCCGCGGGCCTCTGTTTCACCCAGTCTAGGACCAAGAAGCGAGAGCCGCTTCTTCACCTGTCTCTGCTCCATGCGCCTCCTCAGGCCTCCTTCTGGCCTCCATCCTGCCTCCATCCTCTTCAGTCTCCTTTCCAGATTCTTCTTCTCCCTGCTCAGCCCCACCCTCCTCCTGGGGGTGGGGGCAGGGAACCTGGAACCTCCCCCTTTTCCTGGAACCACCTGTCACAGTCCCAGCCCCAGGATGAAGAGGACCAAGCCTGGAGAGCAGCAGAGTGACAGGAACAGGGGCAGGCCCCCCAGAGGAGGACTGCAGGGTCCCACCCCCTCACCCACCCCCACTCCAGGAGTCTTCTATAGCTTTTGAAGTTCCTGTCTCTTGCTCTCCCCAAATGTGCAGACTGGAAAGCTGCCCTTCTTTACACGGGCTTCTTCTGGTTCCGAGGCTTCAACTTCCCTTGTGCTCCCTACCCCAGCGCAGCACAGATCACACCCTGGCCCACCCCGACCGACCCTCGGGAGGATCTGGGGGGCTCACTTTGGGGAACATGATCGCCATGCTGCTCAGGCACTCCTGGCGCTGCTCCTCCAGGGCCTTCTGCTTGTCTGTCCAGGCCTGCAGCTGCAGGTTCTGTAGGTAGTCAATGTTTTCCAGAAAGATGTAGAGGTTTTGGGCCTTGTAAGGGACCCTGGTTTCTCGCATGGCTTTTATGTGATCGATCACGTCTTGTCTGGGAAGGGAGGGCAGTGACTTAGTGGGCGCAGGCGCCTCCTCTCCCCAAGCCTATTAACCCACGGAACCTGTGTTTGTAACTCCTGGGAGTAAGAAGAGAAATGGAAGCCGGTGAGGCCCGGGAAAGCAGAACAGAGTGAGAGTGGTGTCAGGTGGGGACACTCGGGGAGGGCCTGGAAGTAAGGCAAGTGGGGAGCTTACCAGGCAGGGTCCAGGCCAGGCATCAGGGGGAAGTGAAGAGGCAGGCTGAGAGGGATGCCCACTGTGCGGGGCGTGGGGCCCTGTGTGTGTGTGTGTCTGGTCTCCCCCGCCTTTGGGGCCACCCGGGGGGGCATTCCCCAGGCCTGGTGTGACCCTCCCCAGTGCCCCCCTTGCCCTGTGCGCCTCGTCTCCTTTGGTTTCGCTCACCCACATTCCAGTGGGTGGCTGCCGGGGACCTACCGCAGGCTCCGGAAGTGTCTGTGGCAGGTGTACTTCCGGCACAGACACTGCAGTCTGAGCGTGCTCAGCTCCAGGGCGGTGGTGGTGAGCGCCAGGGCCTGGCTGCGCAGGTAGTGGGGCAGTGCTCGCTTGGGTTCCTCGCTCAGGAGCTGCAGGTTCTTCCTCTGGGCCTTGGTATCCATGCGGTACACCCTCCCCTTAAGCGTCATCGGGGTTATATGCAAAGGGGTCTGGGTCACCTTGGGGGTCATTGTCCCGGTGGCAGGAAAGGAGGCTGATTTTTTGGGCCTTGTGGGAATCGGGTGGGCCTGTGGTTTCTGGGTCAACTCAGATGAATGCTTGCTCCTCTGGTTTCCGGGGGTCCTCTGTAGGGCACTAGGGGGCGTGAGCAGGTGCGCTCTCCTACCTTGGCGAGCAGACTGGGCCCGTCTTCCGGGAGGTGCCCACCGAGGCTGTGCCTTCACGTCCCTCCATCGACTGGTGGGCGTGAAGAGCGTCTTCTCCAAGATCTCCCTCGGCCGCTCCTGCTCCCTCCCTGGGCTCCCTCGCTCCTTTTCAGGGTGGACTAAGCCCTGGTCCTGCTCCCTGGCCACCGCCTCCACTTCCCGCTGCGGTGTCTTCTCCTGGCGCTCCTGCCCTGGCACTGGCCCCTTCTCCTGTCCCTGCGGCCAAACCTCTGCCTCCAGCCCCTGCTGCGTCTGCTTCTCGGCGTCTTCCTCCCTGTGCTCCACGCCGCCCTGCTCGGCCACTTGCTCGAGGCTCCCTAGGGAGAGTTGCCTCCTAAGACGGAACTTAGTTTGGAATCTTTCCTTCTCCTGGGCTACTCCCTGGGAGGAATCCTCCTGGCCTTGATCTGTGTGGTCTGGGTCTCGTGCCTCCAGCCTTTCCCACGTCTTAGGATACTGGTGGCCCACTGAGGACAGCAGCGGCGGCCCACAGCTTTCCACGCATTTGCTGCTGTATGCATCTGCGACCCTCACAAACGCGGTGCTGGTGGGAAGTGGCTGACATGTTGAAGGCCTAACACCACTGACCCAGGCCATGGGCGTGGCACTTGGTGGGAGTGGTGAGGAGCATTGCTCTTCCTTCTTGGGTTCCTGTTGGGTGTCCTCCATGGCTCTTTTGTCCTTTGGGGGAGTCTCTTGCTCAGGGAAGACCAGGGAGTCATCCAAGCTCTCACCTGGATCTTCTGCTTGCCCTCCCACCCGCTGAGTCTTCTTCAGCTGGAACTCTAAGCCATGCTTGGTCAGAAGAAGGTCGTGGTATTTTCCCTCTAGCACTTCTACTTGGCTTAGTAGGGCATCCCTCTTCCTCTCGAGGTCGTGGAGGGACTTCTGAAAGTATAGTCTCTGGCTGCTGAGCTCCTTGGTCATCTCGATTTTCAGCCACTTGTATTTGGTCTCGAGGCTTCTGTTCTGCTGGTGCAGGAGGATCAAGGCCTTGTTGAGATTTTCCACCACAGTAGACATGAACCTGATGGCTCTGGCCTCCCCCTGGTTGAACATGGAGGACTCCAGGAGCTCCTGCAGCATGGCCTGTACCTCAGACACCCTGGTGCAGGTGGCCTGCTGGTCCTGGAGCATCTGTTCTGGGCTCAGTGGCTGATGGGGAGGCGGTGATACTTGCGAGCTTTTTTCCTGCCAATCCTGCCAGAAGTTGTGTTTTGCCACTAGGAGGGGTGGAGAGAACAAAGCAGTGAGCTCCCACAGGTCCGAGGGCTACCGTGATTCTCAGGACCCTGCTTGACCAGTTGACCATCCAACCCACTATGGACCTGACGAAAATAAGGGGCTGGGGCCTTACGGCGAGGACAGAGCAGGTGTTGTCGGGACAGGTGTCTCCAGAGTGCGGGGCTCGCCATTGGGTCTGTCAGCTCCTGGCACCTCCGGGACCCGGAGGGGTCTGGACCTACTCAGTCTGGCTCAACTCAACATGCTTCTGACCCTCCATCCTTCCAGAGTTGAGTTTCTTTTCTAATCATGCTACTCCCCAACCTCAGTGTCTGTCTGGCTTCCTACTGCCAACAGCCCAGAAACCTCTCGGGGACTTTGTGTATTCCAGATCACCTGGGAAGCTTTACTTTCCCCTTCCTTACTGGTGTGCTGTGTTATAAGGAAAATGTGCAAGTATTCACATTTTCTTTCTTTCTTTTCTCAAAGATTTATCTATTCATGTATACAGAACTGGGGCGCAGGCCAGAGGTGCAGGGGCGGCGAGAGGATCCTCTAGAGACAGAATGAACAGGCCGACTGAGGAAGCACACTGCTGAGGGGAGCAGCGGGCGGGCCAGGAGAGGTCTGCCACGCCATGTGGGTCACCCCCGGGCTGGGGACCGAACCAGCGCTGAAGTGGCTTTAGCTTCTTAGTGCTGCGTCTAACCACTATGCCACCAGGGAGGGCCCAACTATCTTTTTCCATCTTGGGAGTCATGAACTCTGATGCTGTGATGGAAGCAGGGGACCCCTGCACGTAGATGCATGTGAACACCGACTGTGCACTTGGTGTTCAAACGCACCTATAGAGCTCACGGTCATAGTTGTATCACCTTCGAGCTCCCTTGTGTAGGCTGGTGGGTGACTACCTTGGAGCAGCCATGCACTTGTCCATTTAATGAACACCACTAGCAGGGAAAAAATTGACAAACTTTGGACGAGGGGCTAAAGGAAATATTAAAACCAAATGACGTGGAAGTCAGGCTAACATCTAGTTGATATTGGCAGAGAAGCCGTGTGGCTTGGTGACTCAGATCTTGGATTCTGGAGTCAGATAACTTGGGCTTGAATTCCGCTTTCACCACTTGCTTTGGGCAAGTTAACCATTTCTGAAAACTGGGGATAATCACAGCATCTCCTTCACAAAACTTCACTAGATTATGCGTGTTTAGTTCCCAGTGTGGTACTAAGTACCTGAAAAGTACCTACCACTAATCTCTACAGAGAGATGAATACGACACAACCTTTGCCCTCAGGAGTTTCTAATCTGGCAGGGGAAAATGTCAAGTATGAGAAATGTATTTAAAGACATATTTATATGGTAAAGATTGTAGGCGAGATTGTCTCCTCCTCAATCCCCTGACTCCTCACTCCCCAACCTCCCAACCTTGTTTGACTGGTAATGAACCTGACCATGAAGAATCAATGGCAAAATGCTAATGTTAGCTATCATTTTGCAAGCATGGAGCATGTTCTTGGTGCCTCCCACCAAGCAGATCCCTGCAAGTAGGCAGCGCCCTCCTCATTTTGCATATGAGGAAGATGAAGCTCAGGGAGATGAAGTACGTGCCCCAAAATCACATAGCCAGAAACTGGCATTGATGGGATTCAAGGTCAGGTCTATCTGACTCTGAAGTCCATGCTCTCGAGTAGTAATTAGAATCCAGGAAATCACAGTCTGGGGGCTGGTTTTGCCATAAGCTTTCTCTGTGGTCTTTTCTCTTCGATGATCTTCAGTGTTCTTTCTCAGCTACACAATATAGGAATTGAGTAATCTCAGTTCTCTGCTAGTGTTGAAAGGAGTAAAATCTCAAGTTTAAGCCATGTTGTTGTCTGCTGTTTCTGGAGCAACCACAATTGCTCCAGAAGAGCCTCATCAGATTTCTTGACTTAGGCTTGGAATTTAGAGGATTGTTCCTCTACCTGAAAATTCAGCCTTTCTGGCCTCCAAACCTTGTTCCTCCAAACCTTCGTGAAACCACAGCTCCGTGGAGTACTAGCGGTGGCCTATCTCCACGTTGCCCTGCCTCCAGCCTTGGGGGGCAGTTCAGAACTTCTCAGTACTTTTTTTTTAAAGATGTATGATTTATGCACACAAGAACTGGAGTACAGGCCAGAGGTGGGGAGTGAGAGGATTCACCAGAGACAGAGTGAGGAACAGAACAGGCAGTTGGACTGAAATACACTGCTGGGGGGAGCAGCGGGCGACACAGGAGAGGTCTGCCGCGCCATTGGGTCAGCTCCCCGGCCGGGGATTGAACTCATGCCGCAGCAGCTGTGGATAGCTACATAGTGCTGCTCTTTAACCCATTGTGCCACTAGGAGGCACTCACTCTTCTCAGTACTTAACATGAATGGAGCTCCTGCCTTTCAGCATCCCAGCCCTTCACACTGCCCATCCTAGGTAAAGCTTTTGTTGTGGAGGAGAACTGAAAAGATTCCTGTAGACCTTGGCATGTGACTGCTTTCCTTGAGATGGCATCCATCATGCCCAGCCTTCCCCCACAACCCCACCTCCCCCAGCCCTTGCACAGATGCTCCTGAAACTTACTTTGTGCTCTTTTCTTTTGTCCTTCAATGAGAGTGGAACAAAGGGAAATGAGAGTCTTGATGCCTCCTTTGGTGGTGATGAGGGAGAGAGGTAACATTTTCTCCATCACCTCGATCCATTTGTCCAGGGATTCTTCCTCCTCCTCACTCTTCCTGTTCTTGATCTCATAGGTCAGACTGTCACCTAGAGAGGGGATGGGAGGTGTAGGCAGAAAACAGTCTATCCTCTGGGGAGCCCCGAGCAGCCCTATAGCACAGGGACTACACCAGCAGACCCTAAAGTCAGATTGGTTTCAACTCTGACTAGCTGTGTGATGCTGGGCAAATCACTCAATTCCCTGAGCCTCAGGGTCCTTGCCTGTAAAAGGGCTAGGTGAGGATTAAATGAGATAATATGTGCGGTATTATTAACATGAGGCCTGCCATGTTGAAAATATGTAATAGACATGGAATAGTATATTCCACTATAAGGCCAGGGATGCGTCTTCCTGCCTTGTTCTACTCCCATCCCCTTGCTCACCCAATATCTGTACAGTTAAATGAATTTACTGGTGTCAACAGTCCTGCTTTGTTCTTGGGGGCAATTGGTGGGGTGGGAGTGGGGTGGGGGGCAGTCACTGAGCTGAGAGTCCTGGGGGCAAGGCAGTGTGAGGGCTGTGGGGCACATCCCTACCCCATCTTCCCCCAGCACTGCAACAGCCACAACAGACTGAGCTTCCAAGATGGGATAACTCTGGCCAGCAGGTACACAATAAGGTGCCCCGACATCAGTGGTCATCAGGGAAATGCAAATCAAGCCACAGGTAGCCACCCTCACACTTACTGGAAGGGCTGTTGCGAAAAAGACAAGAGAAAAAGTGTAGGTGAGGACACTACTACAGAGGAAAGGGAACCCCTTGTGCATGGGTGATGGGAGTGTGAGTTGCTACATTAATTGTGGGAAGCAGCTTGGAGACCATTCAAAAAACAGCTACCATATGATCCAGCCACCTCTCTTCTGTACCCACATCATGTTCACTGAAACATTATTTATAAGAACCAAGACATGTAGACAGCCTCAGTGTCACCAGATGAAAGGGTAAAGAAAATACAGCACGTGGCTATATTAATCGATGTGTATACCTGTCTACACTATATGCACATATTCGTCATAACAAAGGCGGAAATCCTGCCATTTGTGACAATGTGGATTAAACTTCAGGGCATTACACTAATGGAAATAAAGTCAGACGGAGAAAGACAAATCCTTACATGTAGAACATGTAAAATACTCACTTATATGTAGAATATGGAAAAAAGTCAAACAGAAACAGAGATAGGTGGTTATGGGGGCTGGGTAGGAGACAATTATAGGGGTCTGAAGTGAGACTGTAGTTAACACTGTATTTCAGATCTACTTGAAATTTGCTAAGAAAGTAGATCTGAAATGTTCCCATCACACACAAAACAGGGTAACTTTGTAGAACGATATACGTCTTTTTTTTTTTTTTAAAGATTTACTTAATTTATGCTTACAGAATTTGGGTGTAGGCCAGAGGTGTGGTAGGTGAGAGGATTCACCAGAGACAGAGTGAGGAGCAGAACAGGTGGATAGACTGAAATCCACTGCTGAGGGAGCAGTGGGCGGATCAGGAGAGGTCTGCCAGGCCATGTGGGTCAGCTCCCTGGCTGGTGATAGAACTCATGCTGCAGTGGCTTCAGAGAGCTTCATAATGCAGTGCTTTAACCTGTTGCGCCACCAGGGAGAGCCCAATATATGTCTTAACTAACTTTATTGTGGTAATCATTTCACAATATATATGTATAATAAACCATCACCTTGGAGACCTTCAGTTAACACAGTGTTGTTTGTCAATTATCTCTCCAGGAAACTTAGATCAGCTAGTATGGATTTGAATTTAGTTTTTATCTTGCTAAAAAATGAGATATCCTAAGGGACGTATGACGTAGGCTTCGTCAGATATCAGCTAATGTCACGATCTATTGTGTTTTGCACAATTACATGTTTGCCTCTCAGGGGAGTGGAGATGATGTGTTGTGACTTGAGCTGGAAACGTTTCCCTGAGGAGGCACAAGATGAGCCTTCTGCTCCTCCGGCACCTCCCACTGGCCCCAGCGGACGCTGACCTTGGGTCCAGAGAGGAGGCTGAGCAAGCCAGACGAGTGTCCCGCTGGCAGGGCCACACCCACCCTGCACACTCACCCCAGTCATCCAGCCAGCGGAGCATTTCACACAAGTTCTTCTCTTTAGTCTTAGCGTCTTTGGAGAAGGATGCAATTTTTTCTAGTAATAGGAATCGGCTCTTGCCCTTTTGCTCCATCTGGTGAGATCTTGCCTGTTCTTTTAAATCATATCCTGATTCTTCCTGGAAGCGGTTGAGGACACAGTTGACATTGTCCAAAATGTCTGAGAGCTGGGAAGAAATATCCTATAAGGGAGACAGCAGAGTGTCCTGTTGAGGGGGCTTTGTTCTAGTGACGTGACTCTGACAGCTCAGTGAGCCTCTTAGGGCCTCAGGCTTCCTATTTGTAAAGTGGGAATTGTTGTAACCATGTCACATCTGTGTAAAGAGTAAATGAATGTCTGTAAAGTACTTGGAGCCATCTCTGGCACATATTGCTATCATTTTTTACTCTTCAGATCAGATTAAGAAGGGAGAAAATCCGAAAAATCCAGTGACCATTTCATCAGAATTTCAGAAATTTCTGGGGACTTTTGGACTTCTCACAAGGATTCTGAGGCAACAGAAGACTGGAAAAATAAGGTCCCAGGAAAATCTTAAGATTAGAGGTTCACATACAAAAATGCAGCAGGGGTCCACAGCCTTGGGCCGTTTCCCTGTGAGTTCCTAGGACTCGCTTGGGGGGTTCTGAGAGGTTGCAAAGAACAGAACCCAAATCATGAACTCTTGCCCCCTACCCCCACCTCCCAATCACTGTTGTGTCTCAGAGCCGTTCTGGGGCGCCCTGTGGGCTACTATCTCCCTGGGTCCCACTCGCCTCTGGCCCTGCCTTGTAGAGGCCAAGTCTAAGAGGTGATATTTGAATGTATCTGTCTACAAACAAGTTGCTGAAGATCCCAGGACCCCGAGGGTCCAGAACAGGAAGGTTGCCCGAACCTGAGTTAAGTTCCCGACCTCCACATCAGATCTCAACAGAAGTTACCTCCTGGGCACGAGCAAGCTGGGCAGCCTGAACCCTTGAGATGATTGCTTTTACTGACTCAGGGATCATTAGCTGTGAGGGCTCATCCTCCTCCATTTTGGGTCTCTCAGTCAGGCCTGCACACACGATGTTGGCTGCTCTGGGGTTCAGGGCCCCAGAGTAGCTCCTGAGCACCCCCTGCCTAGTCACACACCCCTATAACTGCCAGAAGTCAGGTTCCAACTGACCTTCTCTCCTGCAGTGACATCATCAGCTGCATGGAAGTGTGACTCCCTGTCATCATTCTGCTTGGTTAGCTAATGTATATCAACTTGAACTGCTGCTTTTTGAAAATCATTAAGTGATATGCTCCCAAGTTAAATTAATGGCTAAAAATAGGAAAAAAAATGAAGAAAATTCCTTTCCAACAAGAACTTTTTAAAAAAAATTAGAAACAATCAATAATGAATAGGAATTTGTTTGCATTTCCACTAGGAATCACAATTCAATGAACACATTCACCTATTGAGGCTGATAATCATGGCAGAAGGCCTTTTAAAAACAAATGGTTAAAATAAACAAGGACCCTCCCTGGTGGCACAGCGGTTTAAAGCACAGCACTGTGAAGCTGGTCTTGGCTACTTCGCCTAGGTGCAAGTTCGATCCCTGCCCCGGAGGTGACCCACATGGCGTGGCAGACCTCTCCTGCTTGCCTGCTGCTCCCCTCAGCAGTGTGCTTCCTCGATCTGCCTGTTCTGCTCCCCACTCTCTCTGGTGAATCCTCTCACCACCCCTGCGCTTTTGGCCTGTACCCCAGTTCTTATATACATAAAAAAATAAATCTTAAAAAAAACAAAAACAAAAACAACATTGGATGCCCAGGATCTAGAACATCCCTGGCATATAGGAGGCATTTAAGTGCTTGTTGATATGTCAGTACAAGTATAGGTACATGCAGATTGTGTCCTCCATACTACTAAAAATATTAACGTGTAACAGATAAGGAACCAAGCAGTGTAAATTCAGTTTTTTTATCAGTGCCATGGTCATTTAATAACTTGTCAGCTGACACTACCTGTCTTACACATATATTCGTTCACTTACCCAAAGTTAATTATTTCATTGTTTCACTCACTCCACAAATATTTATTGCTAATATTCTATACCAAGTATGGAACTAGGTGCTAGAAATAAAGAGATGGAGAGAACCAGTTATGTCTTTAAGGTACTTATGTCCTGCTGGTTTGTGGAAGGCTGCCCACCTGTCCACCCGGCACTAAGTAGTACTTCAATCCCTTATGATTTCAGAGCATGCTGTACAGATAACTTGTTCACTCTTATAAATATGTACAGACCAGGTCAGGCCCACAGGAGGTTTATCTGAATTTAACAGAGTCGAAACTCCAGCTTGGTTTCCTGCCTCCTAGTCTATGGTACTTTCTTTCTTCCCTCCCTTTCTTTCTTTTAAGTTCAACCATACTGATAATTAGATTACATATGAGTGACCCAAAGAAGCTAATTAAAAAATAGAGAATGTAAGCCTCAATTAAGAAAAGTCTAAGACTCATCTGTATGTTACGCACACACACATAAATTGAAAGCTACACGTAAATTAAAAGTAAGAGGATGGAAAGGGATAAATCATATCAATATTAATCAAAAGAAAGCTGGAGAGGCTACTTTAACGAATTTTAGAACAGGAATTATTAGCAAAGATAAAGAAAGAGGGACATTACATAATGGTAAAAGTATCACTCCTAAATGGGTCTGCAGATAATAGCAGAGGTTCAAGTTACATGAAACAAAACTTACAGAAGTAAAAAGAGAAATAAAAAAATACACAGTTATAGTTAGAGATTTTAACACTTCTCTTTCAGGAACTGGCAAATCTATAGAAAAATAAGTAAAGTTATAGTAGTTTTGAAAAGTACTAGCTGGATACAATTGATACATATAAACTATCTCACCCAACAATAGCAAGGCACATGCTATTTTCAAATGTATTTGGAACAATAATCTGAGCCATAGAGCAGTTATCAACAAAGTTAAGATTCAAATAATGCAACATATGTTTCTAACCACAAAGAAGTTAAACTATATATTAATAATTGAGAGCTATCTGGAAATTTACCAAAATTTGTAAGTTAAACAAGACACTTCTGTCCAATCCATGAATCAAAGAAGATGTCACAAGGAAAATTATAAAATACTTTGAAATGAGTGAAAATGAAGACATGACATACAAACCAAAGTTTGTAGAATGCTCTTAAAGCAGTGCTTAGAAGAAGAAACTAGAAAAGGAAAGAAGAGTAACCGCAAATAAGCAGAAAGACATCATAAGGATAAGAGAAGAAGTCAATAAAATAGCAAGCATCCAAATAAAGACAGAAAATCAGAGCAACCCAACATGGTCTCTTGATTAATAAAACTGATAAAACTCTAGCTAGGCTTTACCAGGAAAAAAAAGAGAGAAGATAGAAATTACCATCAGCAGGAATGAGAAAAAAGAATCACCACAGACTTTACAGTGAAGATAATAAAAGGTTTTCTTTTAAAGATTTATTTATTTATGCACACAGAACTAGGGTACAGGCCAGAGGTGTGGGGTGGTGACACAGTGGGAGCAGAACAGGCAGAGCCATGAAGTCCACTGCTGAGGGGAGCAGCGGCGGGTCAGGAGAGGTCTCCCGCACCCTGTGCACCACCTCCCCGTGTGCATCACCCCCCGGGCCAGGGATTGAACTGGCACTGAAGTGGCTGTGGCCAGCTTGCAGTGCTGTTTCCTTCCCCGTTGCTCCATCAGGGAGGGCCTGAGATTTTTATTTTAAAGTTCTGCCAAGGGGCCTCCCTGGTGGCTCAGGTATTAAAGTCAGCTCTGTCAAGCTATATTGCCAGCCCCTGCAGCACGCGTTCTGTCCTCAGCCAGGGAGCTGACCCCACTGCACCTGTCCCGTCCACTGCTTGCCTGAGCAGTGAATTTCAGTAACTCTGCCTGTTTTGCTCCCCACTCCGTCTCTGGTGAGTCCTCCCACTCCTTACACCTCTGGCCTTTACCCCAGTTCTTGTGTGCATATAAATAAAATCTTAAGAAAAAGAAGGCATAACTACCAATACATGCAACAACATGACTAACTCAAAAGCATTATACAAAGTGAAAGATCCTAGACTACTACAAACTATAAGGTTCCACTTATGTGAAATTCTAAAAATGCAAAAACAGAAAGTGACAGAAGGCAGATGAGTAGATGCCAGGAGCCAGACTAACGGAGGAGACTGACTACAAAAAGGCGCTAGAAAAAGTTTTTAATTGAAGGAAATGTTTTGCGAGGTGATTGCAGTGATGGCTGCTTACACTGTTCATTTAGGCAAATTCACTGTATTGTCCACTTAAAATTGGTGAGTTTTGTTATATGTAAAGTGTTCCTCAGTAAACCCCATTTTTAAAAATGCAATGTTTTTTTCACAACCACAGCTGCGAAGCCTTGTGAGAAGCAGCCCCAGGGCTGTTGAGGCAGAGGGACATAGGTGCTCAGGGAGTAACTCAGCTTCTGACTCTGCCCGACTCTTCCCCTGGGGCTGGTTGGCGTGCTCTTGTCTCCGAGTCTCTACCCTTCAGCAGCTCTCTGGCTGATGGCAAAACCTTCACCAACACACACTTAGGGATTACGAGTTCGGGAGAGATGTTTATAAACTTTTTCTCTCTAATTTTTTTCTTGAAACAGTCAATCCCCTTTTCTAAGCAAAGCCTTATGTCGCACTAACTTACCAGAATGCCTTTATAAGTTCAAACTCATGGCATGTTCAGATTATAAAATCACTCAGCTAATAGCCTGCTTTGATGAGTGAAAAAAATGTGATATGTAGGACACAGACGTGTGTGTATACACACACACACACACACACACACACATATATACATATAATTTTTTTTTTAGAGATTTATTTATGTATACAGTGCTGGGGTACAGGTCAGAGGTGCGGGAGGGTGAGAGGATTCACCAGAGACAGATAAAAGAGCAGAACAGGCAGATTGATGAAATACACTGCTGAGGAGAGCAGTGGGTGGGTCAGGCGAGGTCTGCTGCGCCATGTGGGTCAGCTCCCTGGCCGGGGATCGAACTTGTGATAGTTTCATAGTGCTGTGCTTTAACCCGTTGCGCCACCAGGGAGAGTCCATATATACATGTATATATTTTAAACTACTATTTAAAAGATAGTTAAATATACTTAAAAGCTTTTGAATAAGAATGGTATACTGAACATATGCCTCTAATTTTGCTACACTAAAAATACACTCAAATTATGGCAAAGGGAATTTTTAAGGCACAAATTTACAAGGATAAGGTAACCGGACAGGAATCCAAAACAAAATAAGAAGCATATGGGTGGGTGGTTACTGTCTCTGAGTAGAGAAGGGTGGGTCCGAGGCCAGCATGGGGCAGAAACTGGGGGGCAGGGATGGTTGTGCCGGACTGATGACCACCAGTCACTGCCCACCCCAAGGAGCATGTGAACATGCTGACATCAGTCCCTGCAGTAAAGCTCCTGGCCCAGCAGTTCTCCCATGTACCTGAGCTGAGTGAGCACAAATGGTTCCCGTCAGCTCTTTGGTAACCCACTTTTAAATGTGAGAAGACAGCCAAGAAAATAATCTAATATGAAAGAGACCATAATAACAGAAAAAGAAAATTAGAGCAAAGAGGTTATACAGAAATAAAACTGCAATAGCTTCAGAGATGACCTTAGCTATTCAGACTCTGAAACAAAACAAAAGGCTATAACAAGAAATATTTGGTGAAAAAGTGAGACTACAAGCCTTGAAAATATTGAAGAACTCAGTACAAGAATGAGAAGACAGAGTCCGGGAGATGGCAGTGAGTGAAGACACTGGGCATGTTTCCTCTGTGTCCTGCTGTGAAACAAAGCCCAGGATATCTGAGGGAAAAACAGACAACACAGCCAAGCTGGGAACATGAGTCCAGCAGAAAGGGCAGGAAAAACCCTAAGTGAGTCTTGGCTGAGCGTGATTAACAAGAGGGAGGAACGGCTGGGGTCGTGCCCTACAGCCATTGACGGGTACACCGCAATATCAGGGCTCCTGAGACCTGGCATTGGGT